TGTCAAAATTGAAACGACAGAGGCTCTCAATTAATCATTAAGCTCCTTGTGTACCGATTCTATGCCGAACATGAATCCATACATAAAATTAACACATCAACAAAAATAAAAAATAAAACAATTAAATCAATAAATAAAACTGAAATTTCATTAAAAATCAAAAGAAATTGTGCCATAAATATTGTTGGAAGGAAAATTACCAGAGTGAAGTTATTGTTGGAATTTTGTATCAAAAATTGGTTTTGACCAATTTTAATTGATTATTTAAGTAGAAATCATTATTTGGTGAATGAGAAATTAAACCAAATTTTAGTTGCTTAAATACTTGAATTGTTGAAAAATCATATAGATTATTATGAAATATTCTAGAAAATATTGGAATGGAAAAGTGTGTCTTTCTATTTGAAAGATCATGACTTTTGGTGTGATTATTTTTCATGTATAGAGATAAATTCCAAGAAATGTGTCTTTTTGTATGTTTGTCTTTTTTGAAACAAACATTTCCAATTACTATATATAGGTCCCATGTGCTTGGATTTTATTCATTCAATTCATAATTTCATATCATATATTTCATTTGTGTTGCATAGAAACTTCTCATCAATTTTTTTTTTTTTTTTTTTGCATTAAAAATCATAGTTTGGTAGGGAGAATTAAATTTCAAGTTCGTTGGTTTATATAATTTAAAGTGTTCATATTGCGAGACATGATCGTTGCATCTTGGGAGACGATTGTCGGAAAACCATTAGCATTGATGCAGTGCAAATTGGTCTTAAGGAGAAAGAGTCAAATACTTACCTCGACAAATTCATGTAGATTGCATTTCATGTTTTTAGTTTTAAATTCTTAAACTTTTATTTTGATTCCAAGAAAGGAATGCATTGAATAAATAAACTTCTCATTCGATTTCGGTTAGTCGAAATTCTATTCAATTTCACGCACGTCATAGAATATCATGTATGCACGTTTATTGGTGTAAATTCCTTCAACATTCTTAAGACAAATTCTCTTGTGTATATTATATTTTATTTGCAATAGAAATCAAGATACTGCATGAATATAATGTATGCACGTTTATTAGTGTAAATTCCCTCAACATTCTTAAGATGAATTCTCTTGTGTATGTATTTTATTTGCAATGGAAATCAAGATACTGCATGAATAAAATTCATAAGACGGAATTTTTGACGTATCATGATTATGGTAAATATGTTCCCCTTGTTAAATAAGGCGTTAAAACAATACTCGAATTTATGTTCATGGGTAATGGTTTTGTGTATTATAATGATTAGATGCAAAGAATCAGTAGTGATTCTATAACTTGGAATCATTCATTTATGTTTTGAATTCATTACAATAAATTTCATATTGCTTTTTCAACAAACAATCTGATATTCTATTCAATAAATACATGCACCATAATAATATGAATAATGTTATCTAAGGTCAGTGGTGCTAAAGCATCAATCTATGTGGCATTATGTGATAAATTCAATTATACGTGAAATTATATAATTCGTTTAATTGATTTTTTTCATTAATGTCATCAGTGTTGTCACCTAGACTGATGTTAAAATCCGGTTGTGCTAAATAGCATTACTCTATTAAATATTGTTTCTGGTTTTTGCCCATTAGAAAAAATTCTAATACTCAGAGATTATAATGGAAAATTTCAAATTGGTGCACCAGATTGTGTGATGATTAGTTGTGAAATTCATAATTCATTTGATATTCATGGAACAGTGAATGCATGTGTGTTTATCGGATGTGAAAGTGTATTGACTTTTAACAATGCAGTTCCATTCATGCCTATTCATTTATTTGAATTTTAAGGAAAATAATCGAGATAAGCTTTCTTCTGATTTTATATATTTTCCTTCTTTGTTTGATTATTTTTGGAAAATAATAATTAGAATGAGAATTGGTTTAAAATTGAGTTAAATTTGGTTTAGTATAATGGATAAAAGTTGATTTTGTATCAATTTCGACCAAGTATTCAGACATGTTTCGATGGTCAAATCACGCGAGTGAATAGCTTTAAATTTAAGCACAAAATTCAGTGATCATTAAATAAAATTAAAATGGTCAATCTTATTTTGAGGATCCAAGGCTTTAGGAATAAAGATAAAGAAACAAAGTCATGGTAGAGAAAGTTGACTATTGCACTACGTATGTCAGTGGGTGCAATTGCCCGCATTAAATTTGGACAAAGAAAAAATTGTTGGTTGTTGATACAAATGGATGTGTAGACAAAGCAAAGAAAAACAAACAAACAAACAAATGGGTCATTTGGATTTCAATAAGCAATTATATGAAGAATGAAAAGCCAGAACACCATGATTGTGCATGACCAATAAATTTTAATTAATATGCATCACTTTGTATTGTGTTATTATATAATATATACAACTTCAAGAATTGAAATAAATACAGAGTTACTCATATATAGAACAATAATTTGGGTATTGAAAAGATGATGAGATTTTTGCAAAATACTAATCATAATTGAACATACGTTACACGTTATTTTGAAATGATTGAAAATATAAAAATTAATTAAACAAATTGTTTACGTGGAATGAACTTTTAATTCAAATGAAATAAAAATCAATTTGTAAAAATAATTTAAATAATTAAGGAAATCAATTAAAATAGTCCCTTCATTTGCATTTTTAATCTGAACTGAACATCCAACAAATACCATCTTTTCTTCAAATTCACTTCATATGTATTGAAAATATCAATTTAAATTATTTATTATGGATACGCATTATGTCTCCCTATTTACCTTCTTTGTATCTTAACATTCAATAAATAAATCAATTGGAAGAAAACTCTAAAAATGTTTATTTTTTGTTTCAAATTTTTTTTAATAAATTCAATTTACTATCCAATCAAGTAAAATGAATCTGTAATGATCATAACTAAATAATTGATAAAATAATTTATGATAATATTGTTCAAATGATTAAATAAATAAAATACATATTGAAAAACGAAATGTAATGAACCTGTCAAATATGATTAATAAATTAAATACATATTGAAAAACGAAAAATAACGTAATGAATGTATCAAATGTACATCATCTTAACAAAATAATTAATGATAATAATATTCAAATGATTAATAAATTAAATACATATTGAAAAATAAAAACTATGTTATTGAAATAATTAAATACCTATTAAAAAACGAAAAGTAAAGTATTATTGAAATAATTGAATTATAGTAAAAATAGAATCGTCCAAAAAATTATTATCACTTGATGTGATATTTAATATATTATAGATATTTTCAACGTATGAGAATAGTATAATTACTACCCTGATTACGCTCTTATCGATTAACTAGATGTAAAGCTCCATAAATCTCTTATTTTGAAATGCTTTATAAGTGTTATGAAAATAATATTTGACCCTCCATTTATCATTTTAATCTAAATATGAGAGAAATGCAAGTCCTTGAAAATAAATGTTAATTATTATGCATGCACGTAAATAGTGAAATACATACTTGAATATAAGTATTACAATTACAATTAAATGCATAAATGAAGGTAAATGGTAAATACGATACACGAATTAACATGAATGTTATTTAATTTAAAATTAATATGAAGTAATATATACATGACAATAAATGTAAATCATTTATACTATATGAATATAATTTAATTTCCAATTAAGTGAAATTGAATGCTAATTAGGATACATAGACATAAATAATGAACTGCATTCTTGAATGTGAAATTCTAATTAATGTAAATTAATTGAATGTGAATGTTAATTAATTGAGAATTAATAACAGGGACATGGACGTAAATGTGATATTCTAATTTAATTAGATGAAAGCTAATGTCAATTAATTGATAATTAATAACAAAGAATACATGCTATGAATAAGGATTTTATAATATTTATTTAAGTTTGTAAATTAATACATATTGAAATCAAAAAAGTAAGGTATTATTAAAATAATTGAATTGTAAGAATCACCAAATAAAAATGATTCTCACTTGATGTTATATTTAGTCTTTGTTTGGTTCCCATCATTTTTAAAATGCATTTCTTTTATTTTCAATTACGCATTTTTCAATAAAATAATATTATATGTAAACTCAAAATTTTTCCTTATTTTTTAACCACACAATCTATCAAATCACTATTCCAAAATATGAATAGTGATATGATATGAAATGTGTGGTTGAAAAAAAAGAAAAAATTATTGATGTGATGGAAAATATTATTTTATTGAAAAATGTGTGGTTGAAAATGAGAATTGATTTACTGTAGAAAAATCTAAATCCCTCCCAAACATGGCCTATAGATGAATAATGAACTGTATTATTGAATGTGAAATTCTATTTAACATAAATTAAATGAACGTGAATGTTAATAAATGGAGAACTAATAACGGTGATATGGACGTGAATGTGATATTCAAATTAATATTAATTAAATGAATGTAAATGTTAATATCAAGTAATTGAGAATTAATAACAGATAATATATGCTTGAACAATGATTTTATAGTATTTATTAGTTTGTGAAGTAAATAAATATTTTTAAAACGAAAAGTATATTATTATTAAAATAATTGAATTGTAGTAAAGTAATAATCATCCAAAAAATAATTCTCACTTGATTTGATATTTAACATATTATAGATGAGTGAATTTTTCAAGTCAAGTACTGAAATTACACTTTTTTTTTGTAGTCCAAGAAAATAATATGTACATTCATGAAAGATAATTAGTAAAACAGAAGTTTATTACGCAAAAACAAAAATAAAATCTATCATATCTCTTACTTTCTCTCTCATATATGAAACTCAACAACTTCAGAAGGAATGAAATATAAAGCACAAAAACACCCCTCTCTACCAGCATTGCTAACTTATATTTAGGAGGAACAAAAATGATTCCAAGGAGTTGCGTTGAATTGAGCAGGAAAGAAAATATAAAGATATGCACAAAATGACCATTTCGTCCTTTACATTCAAGCCCGAACCGTAGGAGCCATCCCTCTACCAGCATTGGTAACTTTATTCTGCTTATCTGAGGCAGACGGATTAGTTCTGGATGACTGAGGACTTCTTACGTGTGAAGAAGTTCCTTCTTCTGAATCTTGAATTGCTTGCTTCAAGATCTCGACCACTTCACTCATAGCCGGCCGATCTTTTGGGTTCTTGTTTAAGCAGCTATCTGCCAACTTGGCGATTCTCCTGGCTGCAGTTAGGGAATATTGGTTTTGGAGTCGGTGATCCATTATCATGTTAAATCTCTTACTATCAGCCGGGAAATGTTTCACCCAATCTAGAAGCTTCTGCTCCATCGTGGGGAGGTTTCTTTCCAAAGTCCGTCTTCCTGTGAGTATCTCGTAAAGCACAACTCCGAAGCTCCATATGTCACTCTTGATTGTAAGATGACCCGTTTCAACATATTCAGGGGCAGCATATCCACGGGTCCCCACAGGCTAAAACCGTAAAGTTCGAAAGGTTAGGGATTAAGCAATATTAAGCAAAAAATATTAGAAACACACACGAGCAAATACACAAAATTTATAGTGTTTCACTCTTGACGTGAGAACCATTTCCATCTGCTGCTGAAAATATTCACCACGAAAAGAAAGAGAATTACGATTTGTGATCTTACGCCTCTCAATCTGTATCACTCTAAAAAGCAGCCATTTAAATAGTCCATTATATATTATAGGAGTATTAAAGCGACCTAATACATGTATAAAATGCCTGACGTAATTGTGAACCCAGAATAGACAGCAAAACAGATAAAAGGAGTTCTTGTGAGACCAAATATACATATACATACTGATCAAGTTCTGAGATACGAATTTGCAGTTGAAGTTCCCGAATTTCAGATAAATTACGTAAGAAATAGGGATTTGGAGTTTGGATCAAATAAATTGAAAAGAGATATGGCAACTAAAATCATTTCACTACTTACCGCAGTAGACACGTGAGTTCGGTCTCCAGTTGGACCTTCCCTTGCAAGTCCAAAGTCGGAAAGCTTTGCATTGAAATCCTTATCCAAAAGCACATTCGAGGATTTGAAATCACGATATATCACCTGCCCACACAGGACAAGAAAGAAAGGCTAAATAATTTGTACCACAAGCTACGACTTGTAATAGCCTTAAAAGCTCAAGAATTTCTTAGCATGTCGATGCATGAAAATGAATTGTTACAGAGTTCTATACAATTAATTACATCGACAAAAGCGAGCAAACAACCAAATTTCACCACCTAAAAAGAGGTACCTGAACTTCCACGCCCTCATGGAGATAAGCCATTCCTTCAGCGGCCCCAAGAATAACATGTAGTCTTGTTCTCCAAGGAACTGTTGGCATTGACCGGTTGAAAAGATGATCCTCCAAGCTCTTATTGGGCATGTATTCATAAACCAATAAGCGTTGGATTCCTCTCTCTCCATCCAAAGCGCAGTATCCTAAAAGCTTTACAAGATTGGGGTGATCCAAAACTCCAAGGAATTGGACCTCTGCAACCCATTGTTTATGGCCCTATATGACAGAGAAACAATTCCAACGTAAATTTTTAGAACCCGAGAAAATACATAAAACGTAAGAGATTATTTTATTTTTTAGAACCCAAGGAATAATGCCATTTTGGAATGTCATTACCTAATTATTGTTCCTTATTTAAGATAAAGATGGTAATCGAGCAAGACATGGGCATCTAATCAGGACTTGATGATTTATACTAAACCAACAATCTGCATTATTAATATCGTTTATGCCCCTTCATAAGAATTTAAGTCCACTTTTATGCTGGGTAATCATAAGTTATATGCACTTCATGGAAAATGCTTCCTTTCCATCATCTTAAGGTTTTTTTTTTTCTTTCTTTCTTTTTTTTTTTTTAAGGAAATATCCTAACTTGAAAATCCAAGCCTTAGGATATGATTTTTATTAAAATTGAAATCAAATACAATGCAAGGAGGGGGACTAATGTACCTTACCTCCAGATGAATAACAAAACAACTACCAACTACCGAATGAATATGCACTAAACCAAACTATTACAAAATGCAACTAAACTCAAAGTACAATTACAATCTACAAACTGAAAATTAGTTAGAAACTAATCTAATAGCCTCTAAACCAATCTTATCAAGTCTAACTATACCTTTTATTCTTCCCTTGAAGTCTCTAGCTTCCATCCATTTATACTTCCTCTTTTTATTACCTTTAGCAGCAAAC